GGTAAATTATTACGTGACATTACATGGACAAATGTAAGTACATAGTTTTTCAATTGTCAGCAAGACAATTGTCCAAGTGTTATAAATCATCCCAAATAGCACAGAAACATTTGGAGGATATCCTGAAGAGGTCCACATGTCCCCCTACGTCCTCGTAAAGGCCTTTAAATGTCCTAGGAAGGTCCTATTTACAAAGTGGAACGCCTTGAGGACGTTCTGTGTCAATATTCTCAGAATGTTTTCCGAATGTGTAAAAGTAACATTCTTTGAGCTTCTTGAGAACATTTATAGAGTTTTAGAAAATGATATGGTAATGTCTTAAAAGGCGTATAAGAAACGTTTCTCAAATGTTTAAAATTACGGTAAAATTTTATTCTGTGCAAAGTGGTAGAAGTTAGGTTATATTGTCTTGAACCTAATAAATAAAGGATTAATTTTCCTGCGATTTCCGCACTCAGTCGAAATTACATCGAGTTAGTACCTATTCATAAATAAAAGGATAAATTTCTTGTACGGAATTATAATGAAAATGAAGGTCCGGGAGTTATGGTCTGTGTGTACATTGTGTTCATTTTTATTTCCAAAGCAGATTCCAAACTGATTGTGTGTTGTTAAAGACAGTTTAAAGGAAACCACTTACTCAAAGCAAAATAATGATTCTGTGTTGGTTAGAGACAGTTAAAGAAAAAAATGTTTTTTCAAATTTCCTGAGGTTTCTGTATAAAACCACTAGTGTCGTTACACTTCTCTACTAATTCTTTAAAAAATGTCACCTTCCTCATGGGAATCCACCACCTTGCATGGAATGAAATTGAGCAAAAATTACTAAACGAAACCATCCGTAATTTAAATTCTAAGAACATTTCTAAGACTTAAAAAACGGACATTCCTAGGACATGTGACATGTAAATCTTGAGAACATCCGTAGGACTTTCGGGGCGGACGTTTCTAGAACATCCGGAATTGAAGTCTTACTAACATCCTAGGGATGTTCAAAATGAACGTAGGACATTGGGATATAAACCCAGGTAGCACATGACGCCTTGAAAGCGGTTTAAAAACGTCTCAGACCTAAAATAGCCGTAAAATGAGCGTTTTCAAGGCGTCATGTGCTATCTGGGAAATGGACATGAAACGGAAGTCGTTTAGATGTACGGTGCTATGTAGGATGGAGGATGGTTTACATAGAATCAGATTCGCATGAGATTCGTGTTGATTCTACATCACCCCTACAACCACAATAATCATTTATTTTCAATTTGCACGTGTAGGAAACGAAGATTTGTACTAATGATTGTTTGGTTTTGGTTTACAGATAAATTTTTTAATTTATTTATTCTATTTATGCAAGTTAAATTTATTCTGTTATTGTGGAACCTTTGTTCATGGAAATAACAAAGAGACTTCGAGAAAAATAATACGATTAAAATATATACACCAACAGAACGCAAATATTAACAAATCAATATTTAATATTGTTTCTTATATTTATGGAACGTAGGAAAATTCTGTTTCGTAGAATGGGATAGGTACTGCTAACATTTATTTCTAATAATTGAATTAATCTTTGAATTAAACTAGAAAATATATATAAGAAAATCTATATTTATACAATACAGAAAATAACAAATATGGGAACCTGGAATAGAATATTAATATTCACAGAACAGAATATTAACTGAGAAATAATGGAAAATAAATGAGAAATAATATTGAAATTAAAGTATTTATAGTTGAAGCAATAGTCTTGTTGAAAAATAAGAACAGTAAGAAAATTATAGAAAGTTAATAAAACATCCTTAATTGAAGGTAATAAAATAAACATTAGCAAAATTACAAGAACTTATAATTATGCAAAGAATTATGCAATGAAGTTACTTTTAACGTTGTTCCTTCATCTCGTTTTATTTCATATCGTATCAACAAATTAGTTTACATTAATAATAATCACTTACAGCTTCGTGTTCGAACAATTCAACTTTGTAGGGCACTTACAATTGATTTCCAAGATTCGAACTACTCCTGTCTCAGATACTGCTATCAAGGGGGACTTAATTTAATCTCCAGGGAGATGGAGATACTTGAATGCACTTAGACAATTACGATTTCGTACTCTTGATACGTGCGCAGCATTAGTTATCGTCACTGTTCATACGAGATTGACATAAAACTTTGAAAATTTAAGTTAATAATAACTCATATTTAAGTGCGATCAAAGATTTACTATAACTGCAACACTCTTTGCAACGTTCAATGTACCTTTATTGAATAAACAAACTTTATATATTAAGAACCTCCATGTTCAGTAAAAATTAGTAAATCGTAGAGTACAATAAATAAACAAGGAGTATACATATTTCTTTACAAGATTAAAAAGGTCTAATAGAAGAAATAAAATACGATTTTATTGTCATCCTCTAACTTGACACAATTTTGAGACGTGTTTAATGTTTGTTTAAAGCACAGGTAGCCAACTGGGCTGTGGTGAGCAAGAGCGCTCATGATCACCCACGGGAAAAGTCACCATCTTATTAAAAAAAATGAAAGTGTAACAGATTATTTTAAGGAAAAACTATAACAAGATTACTTCCCAAATTTGTATCTCTAAAAATTTGTAGTTTCCTGACAAGAATCAAATATCCAGTGGTTTATGAACGGTAGTGTATATGCACACTACATAAAGGTTTTTGAAAATTTTAGATACTGTACCTTAATTATAACTAAGCTTAAGTGATGGGGTCTAGGGAATCCCGTGAGTATATTCAGATTTTTTCATCTTTTTTTATTTTGTTCCATAGTTAGAGATGCTCGTATATTTCCATGTTTTCTTACATGAGAATGCAAAACTACTAGTTGCGTATGAAGAAATAAGATTTGTATATCACGTAATAAGTAACAAAATTTGCACCTCGGCAGTTAACGGTTAGAAATATTATGTGTGTATCTAAAAATTGTAGCAGTCTCAGTTGCTGAGAAAATGTTATGAAAAGAATCAAAAAAGGAAGAAGCATGTTCGTAGAATTTCTTCTAACACTCAAGTAATTGTAAATTACTTCAGGAAAACGAATGTGTATATCACGTAATACGATTAACTATTACACTGAACCCTTCAAAGTTATAAGCTAGTATTTCCGATTGAAACTGTTCCGATACTGAATTATACTTTTGACTGACAATAAACTTCCAGACCCACTCTTGCTGGTAACCACGAGAGATCGAAGTCTAAAGGAGCCCAGCTATCCATGATACGACCAACTGACTTCTGTGTAGTTCCTTACAAGTTTCCAAAGATTCTCCTGAAGTCAAACACTCACTAAGAACACCTTCGAGGAGCTGTCGCCTTTGTCCAAACCTACCTCGAACAGTACAAAAACTTTCGCGATATCGGTCTGTACTTTGATTGCATCGCGAACTATCATCGATTTTAAGTATCAGCTAATTTCGTTACATTAAAATCCATTTTTCTTATTTATTCCGGTCGATCTTTATACAGGATTTTTAATTTACTTTAATCCTTTAACACCCAGACTCTTGATATTATGTTGTTTCTTGTTATTTTGAACTCGAAAATGTGGATATTAAAACGACCTATTTCTTATATATTTTAATTATTTTTGGAGGGAATACTTGAATTTCTCAACTGAGAACGTTGAGGTCTACTTTACTATCAGTAAAATTACAGATCCTTTCTGACAAAAGTTAAATATTAATCGGCGACAGAATTTTACACACTTTTAAAATTAATGTTGCAGTTGTAGAACGCTTACAATTAGAGGTAAAGGGTTAACTACACATAAAGTATTTAAGTAAATTTTGACATTAATACGTACTACATACGTTTTATTTTTGTTACCATGCTGTCGTTTTTTTCCGGTATTTCTTTTTTAAACTTTCGGTCCAGTAATTAGATTGTTGCATAATAAATGCCGGTTTTCAATGAGCTTCATTTCAGCCATATTGAAATCGTTAAACATAAGATCAAAAATCTTGTAACTATGTAGTTGGCAAGGTGTGTCAATTCAGATAGATTATATTTTGGTTGAAAATATTTGTTTCGAAATAAGTCATAATCGTTCAATCGTATAATTTAAAAACATTTATTATGCAACAATCTAACAAAATAGGTACCTAAAAATAAATACCCTTTCGTGTAATTTCTGTAATAGTCACAATAAATGAAATATGTAATATAATTCGCAGGTTTAGATGATAGTTCCTGAACGATCTGTGCTTCGTGCGATGAATCTTTGAACGATAAGTTTAAGTATCGAATACAATCATGTCATACATTTTTTGTAAAACGTTTCAAGCGAATATTTTTAAACGCTATTTGTTTCCCTCAGGAAGACGCAAAAGAGACGTGGAAATGATTAATTTCTAACTAGCAAACTTGAATATTCATTTTTGATATCCTAATTGTAATCTTCGGTTTTCTTGATATTTACTATTCGAATTTTTTATATAGAATCGTACAAGAATGAAATATGAATATGCATCTGTAAAAAAGATTCGAATTTGGCAGGGTAAATAGTTCACATTAAATAGAAAATTTTGTGAACACAGGTGAAAAAAATAAAATGAAAGTCGAGTGTTGTATTTATTTGGAATACATTGAAATGAAATCTTTCAGTTGTGTTTCAGTTACGATGGACAAGTAAACGACAAGTATAAAGGAAAACCGATGAAATCATCGGTGAAACTTCGATCAAAATTCAGTAGGTGCGACAAGGAATGAATTGTCCACAAGAATTGTCCACGTATTTCCGCGAATCATCCGTTGAAACCGTTCAATGTAAATACACGTCGATTCCACACCGTCGCAACCTCTCTTACCTCATAACCCGATTTAACAAACGACAGTTGAGAATTATAACGCAAACTTCCATCGGAGAACCCCATCACTCGACGCACATTAGAATATGTGCGGTGCTAGTTCGTAAGCATTATTACATCGGGCACTATTATCAAGGACAAAGGGATGAGGGACCGAGTTTACTCACCGCGTTCCTGTGTGGCCATTGGACCGTCTGCCACTGCTTTCCTCATCCTCTTCGTCTTCGTCGTCCCTCGAGGTAGCCAGTGACTGGGGAACAGAAGAGGGAGCACTGCTACCGGAGTCGGGCCCTGGGCCCATTCTCGAACCGGAAGCACCGCTGCAGCCCGCCGAGGACCCCGACAGACCACCCCCTCCTTGGCCCTCCTCGTTCTCCGCGTGATCCACCTGAAACAAAATCACGTATCCTCGTCACGAAAGTCATATGTAATATTATCGATTTTAGAATTTGAAAGACGAAACAAACAGTTGCAAATGCACACCATCTTCTTGTTGATACTTTACTGTTACATGATTTAGGACATAAGCGCAGAGGAAAGTTAGATCGATTAACCCTCCGAGCACGGAAACATGGTCACCGGTCCCTATGTCATTTCTGACCCCACACCGATATTCTACTACTACACAGCGACGGCGAGGCTCGAGCTCGAGATCCTCACCGATATTACTACGCAGTACCACTGTCACCATGTGTACAATGTAATGATTAGCTGGTTCCACTGGTCAATACTTCTGCAACGTCTTGGCCCGGTCGTTCGTCTGTAAATAAACATCGATTGCTATGCGATTTACGCGACAGCTCCGTCACTCCGTGCGTGTCTTACTCGAAACCGTGTGTCCCCACTCCTGACTCTGTCACTGCGCGCGTGTCGCTCTCGCGAACGCGTGACCCAGGGACCGTGCTCGGAGAGTTAACGAATAAATATCGACACTTAACCGTCCGCATATTTCAGACAGAAACTTGTGCCTGTCGTTGGCAGCTTCAGCGCTTACAAGGGAACACCGTGGATGCTGACTCACGGGATTGGAATGAAACTTTGTGGGTTTATGGAGTGACTTAAGACAAGGATAATGGTATGTTTTATTTGTGTCCAGTCACCAATTAAGGGTGTGAAAACTAACCTCAAAGTCGAATGGGCACTTCCACTTTTTCGCGTATAACTCTTAAAGTACAAGAGATAGGAAAAAATGTTTGAAGAACAAGTTTAATGGTACAATAAGCGCTATAAACTGGCGTTAATAAAATTTTGGAAAACATGTTTTAATATTTTCTTTTTAAGGAAAAAACTTTTTTCAAAATTTTGTTAACGTAAGTTTATAGCGCTTATTGTACCATTAAATTTTTGCTTGAAATATTTTTTTCTATCTCTTGTACTTTAACAGTTATACATGAAAAAGTGGGAGTGCCTATTCGACTTTGGGGTTAGTTTTCACACCCTTAAATTGTGATTGTGCACAAATGAAATATACCGTTATTCTTGTCTTGAATCACTCCAGAAATCCAAAGAGTTTCATTCCAATCTGCGTGTCAGCGTTCGCGGTGCACCCTTGTTACTGTCAGAGTGATAATATGTATAAATATAGTTAATTGTATAAGGCAAGGGCCCGAATTTCGCCGCCGTGGCTAATTCCGTCTCCCACTTTATCCATAGTGTTAAGTGCAGCAGCCTGAGGGCAACTGTGTAACTTTATGTTGAATATGATTCTAATAAACTGGCAGAATAAACAAAAGTTTTCATCAATTTTAATATAAGTTATGACAGTTCGTTGTGTTATACGCAGTGCACTGTAGTGATTACTTATATTTAACGTCAGGTTTCAGTATTTAAGGCAAATGATTCTATTATGTTCTTTTTTGCTTAGATGTAGTTTGTTGTTTTTGTTTTCATAATGTGAAGTGGCAATCTCGTTTTGTTACTTATAGGTCACAATCGATAATTATATTGAAAAGTGATATTGTGCCTAATTTGGGCCCCCTATAGTGGTCTTAATTTCGCCCCAAGGATACTTGTGCTTTATGTGGTAAGTTGTGTTCGAGCGACGTAAAAGGAGAAAAATCGATTTGATATACTGCATGCTTCAAATGGTGACATGAGCTGTGTGCATCTATATCTGACACAAAGAAGTTTCTGTGCGATTACTGTATATGATTTTATTCTTTAGTTTTTGTTTTATTTTTATTCGATAAAAACATTATTTTTATATTTTCATAAACAAAAAATTTTATATACCATACAAAAGTCAACTATCAAAGAAATGTAAAAAATGCATCTTCTTGCATTTCAATTTTTGATATTATTTATATGAACCTTTTAAGAATTAATAATCGGGTGTCGTAATTCATGTTTCAAAATGACTATACAATTTTTGTCAGATTATAATGTACATAGATCAGTTTTCGAACAAGAACCAAAAAATCTTTGGTGGAGGGGTAAAATTTAGGCCCCTTACCCTATAAATTATGTACGTCCATATAGTACGCCGGTCACTATTAACGTGAATACTCGCCATATGATGAAGCTAATGTACAGCCTTGGACAAAAATATTAGGCACCTCTATTAATGTAGCTAGCTGACAAAACTATTACTTTGAAACCTTTCTATTGTTCATCATTTGACGGGCACTTCCAAAGAATGTCAAAATAGTTGACAAGGTTTATAGTGGATCATAAACCAACTAAGTGGTCCCTATAGTTTATATTTTGTCTTTCTTCCTAAAAGTTAGTCTTCTGCCAGTACTCGCTGCTAACACACACCAACTGGTCTTTAGTTTTGCTATTAATATTTTGAACGCTAGAAAGTTTTCCTAGAAATATGCCGAAAAAAGTGAACTGAGTGGCCAACAACGCAAGTCAATTTTTTTTTAAAAGAACAAGGTAAAAATCAGAAAGAAATTGCTGTGATTGTCAGTCATTAGGGCAAAGGATGACTGAACAAATATTGACAAAATTAATAAAAAATAATACATTTCAGATTTCAATAGTTTGATTTCCTTCTAATATGACAATATTTTGAAAAATTCATATTTGATGGGGAGTTTAATACAATTGGCCAAGGCTGCATACCATACTTTATTGCATTAATAAGAATTTACTTTAAAACTAAGGATTAAAATGTTTGGAAATACATAAAATATTTACACGGTATACAAACTTTATTAAAAAAAGTGATTTTGATATTTAGAAATAAAGTTCTAAAAATTATGGTATTTTTGTTCCATAACATTGGTCTAATTCCTTAATTACGTCTATTAGACACAACACGTAATCAGCGTTAAGAAATTTGTCTTGGCTTAATCATTTTATTTGGTTAACAGGATTACCGCATAACGTCCAGACAGACTACTGCTATAACTTCAGTTGAGTGTTGTTTGCAGAGAGGATAACATCTCTGTGTGCGGTTTGTAGGTAAACTTGCTACAAATGAAGGCCACCGAAGTACGGTATCTTACTTGTACCACAGATATACAAAGTGTGAGAATATGTTTGTCCACATAGAATGTTACCGCCCGTTTCAGAGATCCGGAAAGATTTCACTTTCGAAAATTTTACCGTAGTATCTACAGGGTTGTACGTACATACCACAGTGATAATTTTCTGTGGTTGAAGAAAGATCGGAGATTTCAAGGTTATATTTAGTCTTTGAAACGGAACACTATACTTTCTTATTCTTCGTATCTACAGTGCGTTAGAAAATGATATAGCCACCTACGTTTTCTGATGTAACTCGAGAAAGGAATCACCGATCCACCTCAAATTTGTTGTGTATGTAGTCTAAATAGTTGTTGATAATTCTAGAATGATTCATTTACGAAACGTATATTCTGGAACCTTCTTCGGTGTTGTATACCGGAGTGTTCTTTGGCATTGCATTCCACAATGTGCGGAAACGCACCCTGTACCCATCATGCATACATGAGTTTGTATTATACCTCTGTTAATGAGGTAAAGAAACATATATACAAAGACCAGAACACGTTTCTTTCAGGTCGCTATATCATTTTCTAACGGTTGAAAACCCGGTAAATTCATGAAAGTGGTTACTGGACCTCAATGAGCGAACGGTTTGTAAATGAATCAGTCTAGAATTATCAACAACTATTTAGACTACATACATTTCTTTCTCAAGTTACACCAGAAAACATAGGCGACTATATCATTTTCTAACACACTGTATGTAATAATGATAGGTCATTCGACATTTAACCCTCCGAGCACGGTCCCTGGGTCACGCGTTCGCCAGAGCGACATGCACACAGTGACAGAGTCAGGAGTGGGGACACGCGGTCTCGAGAGCGACATGCACGCAGTGACGAAGCTGTCGTGTAAATCGTATAGCGACCGATGTTTGTTTACATACGAACGACCGGGCCAAGACGTTGCAGAAGTATTGACTAATAAATATAATTTGTTTCATAATTCACGAGATTTTTATTCTAGTAGTGTAATAAGAACCACGAAAACCCAAATGTAATGTGGAACCAGCTAATCATTAAATTGTATACATGGTGACGGTGGCTCCAGCTCGAGCAACCGCCACTGCGTAGTAATATCGGTGAGGGTCTCGAGCTCGAGCCATACTGGCACTGTGTTAGTACAGTGTCGGTGAGAGCCTCGAGCTCGAGAATATCGGTGTGGGGTCTGAAATGACCTAGGGACCGGTGACCATGTTTCCGTGCTCGGAGGGTTAAAAAGCCAGTAACACACCACAAAACACGATGTAAAAAACTAAGCAAACATTTGCTGCAATTAATTACTTCAAGTACTTCCTTTAAAAATAAAAATCATTATTTCACCCTTTTCTTATAGATCATTCAAATCGTATAAATAGCAGCTATTGTATGACGCATAAAGAAAGATAGAATTCGAGTTAAAAATTTGGAAGTGACCTTTCAGTTCCAAATGTCGCCGCGTACAAAAGATTTATTACTATAATACCGTATGCTTTTCTCGTCTCCTGATATTTTGTTGTATTTATTAAAACGATGGAGGTATTTTAAGTGGACACAATTATTTCCTCGCTCTGTACACAAAATATGTACTATATGAATAGTAAACAATATTATTTACACTCTGTTCAATAAAAACCTGTCGACGGTTTTTGAAAAACAGGGCTTGAAGGAACAGGAATCGCAGCGGGGTTAGGAGGGGAGAGGTGTCGGTGTGTCGGTTACATGAAATGCAGGCGTACTCGAGACAGTCAGCGAGAGAAAGTAAACGAAGTCAATTCTTCACAATGAGTGCAATGTACGCTACTCGTTTTAAAGCTGTGTTCTTATGCACGCATCTCGCGGTTCCAAA